ATTCCCTTCAACTACTTGTACGAGAGGTACGGTCATAGCAAGTCCTACCGCACCTATCCAGACGAATTCACCCTCACCTCATTGGGGCATATCCACAGGAGGGTTTTCGTCTTCATGTTCTGTTTCTTGGGGATGATAGTGTTTCCCATGAAGAAGGCTAGGATCCACACCAGACTAGCCATGGTCACCAAGACACTAATTGAGGGGATTGAAGGGCATCATTTCAGCATAGTGCCCATGANGATACAAGAGGACTACATGCTGGATAACAATGCTTAGGTTGTTAGCCTCAAACCAAATTACGCAATCAAATATAGGTCACATCCAATCAGTGAATAATTGAAGGAATCATGTAGTATATATCTGCATGACTTGGTTTGAATTATTCATCCTACATGCCATCATGATTTCACCATTCTCAACTTGGTGGGATTGATCATATATAGGTTATTTGAACTAGAATTTTCCAAGATCTAGATCTACTTGAATTTATGACAACAATAATCCATATATACAATAGAATCAATAAAAATGTAGTCCGGTGAATAAAATATTCCTCGTTTTACCAGGGTTTGCATTTCATGGGGTGTAATAAAAACAGTTTGCCCTAACGTAAGTATTATTAGCTTCTTTTACAGCTCGAACATGTGACATATAGGTCACACGACTCAATATCGCATCAAAATATTTTTACATTGTTTGACCAATCAAATAAACGTACACATGGGGGAGCATATTGAGGCATAGTATCAGCGACAGAGCTAGAAGCCTGAACGGGAGTTCGGCCGAACTCAATAACTTTTGCTCAAACAATATATTTGTATTAAATTTTATTATTAAATATGTACAAATATTAATTTTAAGGCCCAACTAGTAGCTTTTAAAATTATTATTCTCAAATCCAGAACCCATAAAGTTGAAAACTTGAATCCGCCTGCCATAAATTCTTCATTTCTTTACACATGAAGGTTCATAAAAGTTAGGCTTCTAAGTTACGTTTTCTTTTTCTTTTTCTGCCATCATGTGATTCACCAAATAATACTAAATTTCAGTACTATATATTCTTCAAAAGTCGAGTAATATCAAGTGATGATATACTCGTAGATGTAGTAGTTACTAGTTACTCCAAGTGGTCCATCATTTAGGTCGACTTTGTCAAAAGCATTTGGTACCTTTTTCGTACATTAATTACAACTAATAAAGAATATGCATGTGAAACCTCCATTATTATATGAAGCCTCCCTCCTATGGATAGTTGCAGTAATATGAGGAAAGGAACATGCAATACAAAGGAAAAAGAGAAAGAGAAAAAGACTTAGATTTCATTTATTTGAAGCTTTCCCTTCTTGTTATTACAAACCTTCATTTCTGGCATGGGAACTTTTTTCACGGACATGAATAGTCATTCATTTCTTAACTTCCATGTGTCACTAAAAGAATATTTTATGTAGAATTTTCGTATAGTATTTATGTTATGAAAGGTGTGTGAGACAAGTGTAAAACTAAATGTACACAATTGTTGAAGATAATGATCAGGCTAACAAACCTGATAACTATACAATCACTTAGTCTTAGTTTACAAGAATTAAGACTCTTTGTATTAGCTATCCTAGAAGAGTCCTACTCTATGTAGTATAGCCAAAATATAGGATGAATATTCTGTATAAATACATAGGTCTCGTGTAACTGAAAATACATCAATACACTGCCTTCTTGATATTGTCTCTGCACCATAATTTCACATGGTATCAGAGCTTCTTTGAAGCCAATCCCGCTGCCAAAATCCAGTTCTTACTACACAATATCAACTCTGTCCGTATGGCTTCCAACACCTTTTCAACAGCCTCTCTTCATCATCTCATTGCCTCATGCCCCGTGAAATTGAAGCCCACTAACTATCTGATATGGAGAACACAAATGATGCAACTTATACAAGTAATGAGGTTGAACGATCTCATTGAAGGAAAGCCAAAAATTGTAAACATAGAAGGCACCAGTGAAAGCAGTGATAAGGACAATGGCAAGGGAGTTGACAAAGCCAGTGCTGCTGATGACGGGGCTGAAAAGGATGTGTTGTTAAGGAGTTGAATATCTAGGACAATGTCAGAAGAGAGCATGTATCTCATTGTGGGATGCACAACTGCTAAACAGATGTGGAAATACCTGGAAGAAATCTATCTGCAGGCAACAAAGGACAAGGAATTCCAGTTGAAGCAACAACTTCAAACCATCAAGCTTGGCAGTAGAACCATCGATGAGTATCTGAAGGAATTCAAAGGCATTTGTGATGTCTTGGCTGACATACATAAGCTTGTAGATGATGATAGCAAGTTCATCAACTTTGCTAGAGGTTTAGCAAAGCACCTTATCCAACTCTGAGCCAGTTGGTCACTTCTCTAAGAGGCTTTGATCTCAAAGAGGATGAAGGAGATGATCCAAAGTGAATTACAATATGGCATTTTCAGCGCAAAGTACATACAACAACAGAGGTAGAGGAAGTTTCTCAAACAGAAGAGGTAACAACTACAGTTCAAGAGGTAGGGGCTTCAGGCCTGCTGAACAGAACAACAATCAAAACACTCAAGGTTCTGGAAATGTTGTTAAGGGACAGGAAACCACAGAATCATCAGCATGTTAGATATGTGGCAGGAACAATCACACCGCAATAAAGTTCTTCTATAGATGGGACTTCTCCTATCAAGAACCAGAAGATTTGCCACAGGCTCTTGCTACACTCAATGTGAACAGTCAGAGTGGTGGAGGCAATGCTCACTATATGGATCCTAGAGAAAGTACTCACATGACCAACAATTTAGGTAACTTATCCTATCTTAAACCTTACAATGGAAATGATAAAATTGTAGTAGGAAATGGACAAGAACTGGATATCACACATGTTGGAAAAGGAATAATTTCTGGTTTAAGGATGAGGAAGTGCTAGTAGTTCCTAAGCTCAAAAAGAATTTGTTATCCGAAAGTAAGATTACTAGAGATAATTGCTGCTCCATTGAGTTTGAGAAATCATCTTTTGTTGTAAAGGACAAGAGGACAGGGAAACTGATGACCAAGGGTGCTAAAAGAGGAGAGATATATGCCTTAAAGGTGGACAACATGCTTGTTTTGAGTGCAACACGGACAAGGAGAAGCTCTAGTGATATTGGGCATGCCAGACTTGGGCCTCCAAATTCTAGGTCCTGAGAAGTACTTAGTAACAATAAGTCTATCAATGTCACATGTTGGAATAAAACTCCTATCGTTTGAGTTAGTTGTCAAATGGGAAAAATTGTAAACTATCATTCAAGTTGAGAAATAAAGTTGAGAATGAACCTCTATTGAAAATTCACTGTAACTTATGGGGTCCTGCTCCTGTTCAATCTTCCCAACATATGAAATACTATGCTTTGTTTGTTGATGATCATAGTATATATACTAGGTTGTATCGTTTAAAAAGAAAATCTAACTTCTTTGAAACATTTGTCAAATTCCACAAAATGGTTGAGAAACTGTATTTAAAGAGTATCAAGATCTTTCAATGTGATGGTGGAGGTGAATTTTCAAGTTATGAATTTGTTAAGTACTTAGAAGACCGTGGCATTGTAAGACATATTTTGTGTCCGCACACTCCTGAGCAAAATGGCATTGTAGAAAGGAAACATAGGCATGTAGTGGAAACTGGATTGACACTAATACTGCATGCTAGGTTACCTTTATATTTATGGACTGAAGCATTTCTCACAGCAGTATTTCTGATAAATAGATTGCCATCATCTGTGCTTAAAAAGGAAACACCATTTCATAAATTGCATGGTTCACACCCTGATTACAACAGTTTGAAAGTGTTTGGGTGCAGGTGATTCCCTTACTTAAAGGGAAAACACAAGTTCTCACCTAAATCATATCCATGTGTGTTCATTGGTTACAACAGTCTGCGTAAAGGCTATAGGTGCTATCATCCAACCACAAAGAAGGTCTTTGTGTCAAGACATGTTGTCTTTGATAAACTAACTCTTCCCAGTGTGCAGGAAAACAAGACTGACATTACACCACATGACTCTAGTCATATGGCCACCTTCTTTGAACTTTTCTCAAAATCACAGGCTAAGTCTGGTTCATCAGACCCTACTGATGCAGGGGAAGTGTTGGGAGCTGATCATGATGATGTTGCAGCTAATGTTTAAGATGATCAAAGTGTTGTGTTGAAAGCTGATCATGATGCTGTTGCAGCTGATGTTTCAAATGATCAGGATGATGGTGTTACTGCTCAAACAGTTGCTCCAACGGATGATCACAGTGATGCTGTTGAGTCTAATCAGGATGAGGTTGTAGAGGTCACAAATAGTATTGTTGAGCCCTCTGTAGACATGCAAAACTCAGACACCGATGAATTGCACTCAGAGGCCTCTCACTCAGATGAAACACCTATGACGTTCATAGTGACAAATCCAAGAGCATTGCAGCTAGAAGTGGACTTGTCACACTTCTTCAATGCCCAGGATGAAGCACCTCCAGCAGAAAACATAGTTCATGTTGAACCTGAAATCACTGATCAAGGCCATAAAACGGTCACCAGATTCAAAGCTAAGTCTCTTCCTATAACTCATACCTCACTAGCTGTTGTACAAACAAAACCAGAAGAGCTAAAACTATAAAAGTAGCTCTTAGTTTCCCTCACTGGTTTAAAGCTATGCAAGCAGAATTAGCAGCTTTACATCAAAATGAAACTTGGATACTAGTTCCCAAAACTTCAACAATAAATGTAGTAGGATCTAAGTGGGTGTTTAAAACAAAATGAAGCTAGATGGATCAATAGAAAGACACAAAGCAAGGCTAGTTGCTAAATTTTACTCACAACTTGAAGGGATTGACTTTGAAGAAACCTTCAGTCCAGTAGTTAAAGCTACAACTATAAGAGTTATTCTCTCTGTTACTGTCACTTTACATTGGGCCATTAGGCAACTAGATGTTAAGAATTCCTTTCTATATTACAAGAAGAAGTCTATATGACTCAACCACCAGGCTTCACTGATCCAATGTATCCTGATCATGTATATCTCTTGAAGAAGGCACTATATGGTCTCAAACAAGCTCCCAGAACTTGGTTTGAGAGATTTAGTCTATTCCTGCTTCATCTTGGTTTCAAATACAGTTGAGTTGATTCTTCCCTATTTACTCTCCATGATGAAGAAGGAACAATATTACTTATGTTATATGTAGATGATATAATTGTAACAGGAAGCAACTCAAGGCAGATAGGGGAAGTAGTGCAAAAACTGGGGCATGAATTTGTTATGAAGGATCTTGGACCCTTGAGTTACTTTTTAGGTATTGAAGTAAGCTATTTTCCTGGAGGAATCCATTTGAACCAAAGCAAATATGCAAATGATCTGCTTAGTAAAGTGGATATGGCAAATGTAAAAACAGTGCATACTCCACTAGCTCAGAAGCATGGTCTACAAGAAGCAGCCGGCAAAGCAGCTGATCCCTCAAATTACAGAAGCTTTATAGTAAGCTTGCAGTACCTCACACTTACAAGACCAGACATTACTCATGTTGTTAATCTTGCAAGTCAATTCATGCAGAATCCAAATAGCATACATCTTCAGGCAGTAAAGAGAATATTGAGGTATGTCAAAGGAACCATCGATCATGGACTGAGAATCATATCACAGTCTTCCTTCAGGCTGTATGGATTATCAGATGTAGACTGGGCTAGATGTGCCATTACAAGGAGGTCCACTACTGGATATAGTATATACCATGGTGCAAATTGTGTCTCCTGGTCATCAAGAAAGCAGAATACTGTTGCAAGGTCAAGTGCTGAAGCTGAGTATAGATACTGAAAATACTATGTATAAATACATAGGACTCGTGTAACTGAAAATACATCCATACACTGCCTTCTTGACATTGTCTCTGCACCATAATTTCACACACATAGATGCTGATGTCTACCAATTTTCCAACACAAGATTAGGGTCGTAATCCCCTTCATTCTATGCTGACCCTGGCCCGGGCTGGCTTCTTGGGAAGCCAGTTCCCAACCCATTCACGGCCTAGCTGGCCTGCCAGCAGTAATGGGAATTCTCTCATTCCATTATCAAAGACTTAGTTAGATGCGTCCACAAGAAACGGTACAGACGTATATGACAAACTAAGTAGAATCTCACTTAAGACCAAAAGGTGATATATGAAAAGATAAAGGGAAATCCTTTAAGAAAAGTAATGTTTGCTTAACACTATCTCAAAAGTTAATTCATAAGAAGATAGTAATCTAAGGAATCGTTGGATTTACACAAGGGATATCTTGATATTAGTGTCACGCCCCAAACTTGGGGAGGCGTGGCCGGCACCTGGTGCCATATTTGGCCCGAGCAAACCACTCTGTAACTATAAACTCTGGAGGGGTAACCCTAAACTTAGGCCGATGAGGCCATACTCCAAATCATATGAAAATATCATCTCTCTCATATGAGGAGTAAAGATACCCAAAAGCGTGCGTGCACCCCCGCGCGCGCACACACACACACATCAGCCTGCATAGTTATATATATATATATATATATATATAAACTATGCAGGCTAATGAGGTCGCCATGAACAACTACTGATATACAAAATATACATAACTCGTCTACAAGCCTCTAGTGATATCTGAATTGTATCATGGTCGGGACAGGGCCTCGACCTACCCATCAAACCTGTATATATAAAATGGACTCCAAGGTCTAGACCTGGTAACCCCGAGAAAGTGGAGCTTACCAACCAAAATGATGTTTGACTCTTTCTACTGGGAAGGTCTATCTAGCTATCTATCAGGACCTGCAGGCATGAAATGCAGCGTCCCCGACAAAAGGGACGTCAGTACGAAATAATGTACCGAGTATGTAAGGCAACTGAATAACTGAAATATGAAACTGAATTAATAATATAATAACTGAAAGTAACTTCGAGTCAAAGATAATCCGAAGATATGATTACCTGCTGATATTGACTCAACTCTCTCAATATAGTATGTAAAATAGTTGTTCGACCCTATAAGGCTCGGTATGTGTAACTGCTCTACCGTAGTAGGCTCGCTCATAGGTGTTCGACCATACTAGGATCTGTATCTCGGCCATTCTAGGCTCGCTCATAGGCGCTCGGCCACAGTAAGCTCGGTATATAACTTACCATCTGATCAGAGGTTGCCCAATAGGGGCCTGCCCACCAATTATAGCTCAATGGTGGTAAAAATACTGTAATACATATATATATACACACACACACACACACACACACACCCTCTGCTCCCTTAATTGGAAGAAGACAATTATCAATTGAATATAAAGTCCCGATAATGGAGAATACTGTAACTTATGAGACTAGGATAATGTATGTAAATTCAGGAGTATGAACATCTCTTTATGCCTCGTTATCAAACACATGTAGTTACGAGATCATGCCAAAATGAAGGAAAGGTTTAGCCTTAACATACCTTATCACAATTTGTCCAATAACCACATTAAACTCGTCTCGTTACACCTTAATCTACAACAATGATGACAATACAATGATCAAGTTATGTAAGGTACATTTATCGCAAAACGAACGACAAGATTATTTTATAATAAAACGGGCAGCATCTCCGCTATCATCTTTACTTCCTCCCAATTCGACATAACACCAAAAAAAACAAGAACACAACAATAACAACATGTATACATAATTTCTCAACCTTATATCCATCACAAAATACCACAAAACAGCCCACACACCCCAATTAGTTCATACACAAAACGACAACCCTAGTAGTGTCAAACAGCCCGAAAATGCGATAACGAATGACCAGCCAACCACCCTGATATTATGTGGTGTTTATCCACACCTTTATCCTTCCAAACTCCAAAAAAACAATAGCAGAAGAGACAACCCAACAACAACACGAAACAGCCAACAAGTTCAGCAACTCAAAATTGGTTTTTCAGTTTACTAAAACATGTTTCAACTTGTCTTTTCTTTCAAATTGAGAAACACAACCAACAGTACATAATTAAGCCTCTTATACCATAAACCATCCATGAATTCAACTCGAAAATAATTTTACAACCAGCCGATAGTGATGCAACAACAAACAACATACCACTCTTTCGAAACTCTCTAGGTCTAGTCTTTACGATCGAGTTACAACTCGTATAAGCCTAGATAATGGAAGGAGAATCATAAATTTACCTTGGACTGAGTAGAAACCACAAAACCTAGACCTTCCTCATACAAAATTAGTCCCCCAATGAAGCTACAAGAAGGAGAAAGAGAAAGTAGCAAGCTGTCCGGGCTTTTCGGCACTAGAATCACATCGTAACACCCGAAATAACCTAGGGTTTGTGTGGGATTTTTGGGGAGGAGTTGCAGGGGTTCAATCTGGTTTCACGTTCTGAAATATGAGTGAAATAAATGAGTTAATTATACCTTAAAATTTGCCTCTTGGCCGACTAAATTGAGTCCTCTCCTTTTGGCAAGTAGGTGATGCACCTACTTGTTACCTACCAGTCTGTGCAGTCTCGCGAAAATGCGAATATCTCTCTACTCCAATGTTTTATTAATGAAAGGTATAATCTGTTTGAAACTAGACTCATATATCTTTAATTTGGTAAATAGATCATCACGTAATTCCAGGTACATTGGGAGAAATGATCAGCTACATTTGACCTAATTTCAAGCATATTTATGAATGTTGTGATGACCTTTGCCAACTTTTGTTCCACAACTTACTTGACTTAAAAACATAACACACGGCTATCATACGACTTAAATAACTCATAACATAACCTCCTTATCTTGTTAAGCACTCTAGTCTCATCACAAAACTGCACGTTATAACATTTCCAACTTGTCGACATTCGACAAAACTTATTTTCATCAATTTGTTTAGCTTCTTAGCCTTTCAACCCTCTTGGTACTTGTTATCCATGATCTTAAAGATTTGTAATCTCCAAGGTAACATGATTAATGTAACGACCCGACCGGTCGTTTTGAGCTTTTGCACTTTGATCGCCAGTTCTCGGGCATGACTTGCCCCGTGTAATGTATTATGACTAATATAAGTCGTTGGTTTTGGTTTTCAGGAAAAATCGGAATGAATTTGAAGGAAACAGTTCTCAGTTGTAGCTTTAAATTTGAAAGGTTTGACCAAGAGTTGACTTATTTGTATATGAGCTCGGATCAGAGTTTTTATGATTTGGTTAGCTTCGTTAGGTGATTTATGACTTAGGAGTGTGATCGGAATTGATTTTGGAAGTCCGTGGAAGGATTTGGCTTGAATTGGCAAAGTTAGTATTTTTGGCAACTTCGGGTTGGTAGGTGAGATTTTGATGCGAGGGTCGGAATGGAATTCCGAGAGTTGCTGTAGCTTCTTTATATGATTTGGGATGTGTGTGTAAAATTTCAGGTCATTCGGAAGTGATTTGGTTGGGTTTTTGATCAAACGCGTGTTACGGAAGTTTTAGAAGAACTTAGGCTTGAATTCGATGTAATTCGATGGTTTTAGTGTTGTTTGAGGTGTTTTGATGATTGGAACAAGTTTGAATAATTTTTTAGGATGTGTTAGTGCTTTTGGTTGAGGTCCCAGGGGCTTCGGGGTGATTTCGGATAGCTATCGGGGAGTTCTGAACTTAGAAGAAATTGCAGAATTTCAGCAGTAATTGCAGAGGAATTTTTTCCTTCGCGATCGCAGCCACAAGGTCGCGTTCGCATAGTATTGGAAGCGGAAGCTTCGCGTTCGCGTGGTATAGCCCACGTTTGCATAAGAGGATCTGGGGGCCATCATATTTTATTCTTCACGTTCGCATCATATGAGCCGCGTTCGCGTAGGTTTGGAAAGTGAAGCATCGCGTTCGAGGAGCTCCTGTCGCGTTCGCACAGCACGTTTTTGAAGCCTTGGGAATTTTACCTTCGCGATCGCGAGCCTGGGGCCGCGATCGCACAGAAGGAATTCATAGCTGGGCAGAATGGTATTTAAACATTTCATCCGCGAACCCAAGTCATTTTTCCACCATTGTTGAACATTTTGATAGCTCTTTGGGAGAAATCGAAGAGGTTCGAAGAGGATTGATTTGAGGTAAGTGCTATGAACCAAAAACGTGATTTAGTTGTGAAACTAACATAGAAATTCATGAAAATTTAACTAGAAATGGAAGAACTAGGGCTTGGGATTTTGAGATTTTAAATTGGTATTTGAAGGACCATTTGAGGTCGGATTTGAGAGTTTTTGATATGTATGAACTCGTGGCGAGATAAGGAACCCGTTGATGTGAAAATTTCTGAGTTTCGAGAAGTGGGCCCGGGGCTCGGGTTTTGGTAATTTCGGGATTTGTGCCCGATATTGATTGTTTTCGCTTGGGCTTTGTTCCCTTAGCATATTGTGATGTATTCGTTCTGATTTTGGATAGATTCGACGCGCGTGGAGGCCGATTTGAGGGGCAAAGGCGTCGCGAGCTAGAGATTTCGCCGGTTCGAGGTGAGTAATGATTGTAAATGATATCCTGAGGGTTTGAAACCCCGGATTGCACATCGTAGTGCTATATTGAGGTGACTTGCACGCCGAATAGCGAGCGTGGGGTAGAGCACCGTTGGGGATTGTGACTTGGTCCGTCCCGATTGATGATTTTACTGTGTAATTGACTGAAACTTATTTGTTATCATCATGACTTGGACTGATTGCCATATTTGGGCTTCGTGCCAGCTATTTGAACCCCTTCGAGGATGGTCATTGTTATTCCCTCACTGTTTTGATTTTATACTTGAACTCAATCATGTATTTTTCACTGTTTTCAAAACTCAGCCAAGTTTACTTGCTTTAACACTT